CTGAAATTAGGTACTTGCAATTACACTTTATCTTCACATCAACTTCAGAATCTATAATGTGGATTTTTTCCATATTAAAAGTTTATTTATTAATAATTTTAAGTTATAAATAAATTTAGTCCATTATTGCATCATTTTCATACGTTTTGTATACATTGTTTACGACTCAGCACAAAGTCCAGCTCATGCTAAGTGCAGTTTCCCTAATGGCTACATCTACCCTCAATCAAGAATCGAAATACAGATGCGTTGTCACCTACGAGAACTAAGATGTAATTTGTTACCAGTAAAAAATATCTCCGGCTCTCTACAAACAACATTCGAAACACATCACGTTATGTTGCTATATCATGATGGTATACTAGGCGATTTTAGTTAGGCCTTTCCGATGAATTTTTTTCCGAGGAATGAACCCCTAATAATATCCTCTAATAATACAGATACTACGCATAAAATTTTATAAAATTTGATCGCAAAGCAAAACTTTAATTTGTTGGTCAATAAAATGTAAAGTTTCTTTAATTCCTCTCTTTCGCTTCCATAGTTCTTAATTTAAAAATCCGACTCCATCGCTTTAATTTGAGTAAAAATTCAGTGTACGATACGCTTTTAGCTTATTTGTGAGAAATACCTCTATCATTATAAAATACCCTCTGTAGCCACATTAGTGTCTGTCCGGATCTAATTTTCACAGCAAGAGTCCGATCGTGCTGCGCTTTTATCAATACTGATATCATTAATCAAGTACCAATCAACTCATGGGGGATATTTTACGTTTGAATTTAAACTCCCGTGTGACTGCGTTAAATTTAGCGTAAATTTTTCACTTTATTTGTGGCACAATCCTAACGGTGTCATATGTTTTTATAATAATGTAGTGACAAAGAAGATAAAAGTCTATGATGTAAACAACTTCTGTGCACCATGGATACGTTTAACAAATTTTAGACAGAGGACTTAGATATAATGTAAGAAATCTTTACGTGGTAGAGTCATGCTGCTAGTTACGCTCGCTATGCTATAGACACAAAGCTGCAGGATGAATGGTACGATTCGACCGAGATAGAACAACGCTATCATCGAATACCAGCGCAACAGCAGCTTAGTGCTGCTGTTGCGTGTAGTGAGTATAGATAATCGGAGGCCTTTTTATTGATAACGAAGAATGCGGGGGTGACAACGCATGTACATTTTGATTCTTAATCGATGATGGATGTAGATGTCATCCACATACTATCAGATGAACTATGATGTGTTAGTTTATTACCCTTATTCTATAAAATATATGCAAAAAGGGCTCAAAACCTTTGGCCATACTGGTTAGGGGCTTTTTTGGTTTTTTCTTTCCCTCTTCTTTTCTTCCTTAATCTTAAAACCGCTACATCACTAGTATATAGTAGTTCATGTCAGAGCACACAATTATGTGTTATACTCTACTACCCTTACAGACTCAGAAGTGACCTGACCACTCTTTCTATTTACTGTTACACTATTTCTGTACGTGGTAGAGCCACGCTGCAGCTATATTATAGTTGTGGCACGAATGGGTTTATTCAACCGGGGCACGACCATGCTCTCACAGAATACTAGCGTAAAATAGCAGCATAATGCTGCTGTGTTTCGGATGGTGAGTGTAGAGTATCAGAGATTTTGAGTATAAATGTGGATGTCTATGGGCTTCAGAATCCACTTACCACCATGATTTTTTCACCCAATGCTATAAAAATATAATAAGTGTGAAACATAATATAAATAATAAAAATAATTTAGCAACAAAGATTATTGTTTTTCTATTAGCAATCTATACACACTATAATAAATCTGTGGAAAAGTTATGTCTGTAATTCAATTTTTTTTTTTGAAAAAGAAAAACGAGTCCAAGAGACTAAACAAACGGTAACTGCATCCAAAATCCAAAATTATAGGTAACTCTGAAATTGCATAAAATTATACTTAACATTGAAAAGTGTACTTAACACTGTCAGAGATTTTAATCTCTATTTGATGGAAAATTTCATGACTGCTCTGGATGTCTAATTACGGGTAGATGTGGTCCATAATCGTGCAAAAGTCTCTTTTCAGTTTTAATTAATTTTATTCAAATAAATACGACGGCTTTCGTATTAAGGCCGCCGTAAAATTTCATGATATGGAAGCAAATCGAGTACGATTCGCGCGAGGACCATTGAAACTGTTATAGGAAATTTATTGTGCTGATTTACCACGTATTCGGTGAAGTAGTATAGAAAAACTTAGTGCTGAAACCTAGATAGTTGAGTAATTTAAAATAAAATCGTGAACACGTGAAAACCGCTAATACTTATTGAAGCATTCCGGCGAACTCTTTCCTGTCCACACTATGTGTAATTAGGACCTCTGTGCACTGTTGTGAGACATATGTAAGCACTACTTTACTTTTTTTATTGAAACTTCTAAAACATTTTGTCATATATATATATATATATATATATATTTTTTTTATATATTATATATATATATATATATATAGCTTTCATACTTTTAGACATATTAAGATTTTTGTGATAGTTCCGGTTACATAGTTCACATGTGTATGTAAGAGTGTATGTAAAAGAACAGGCTCTTGCGAAAAAGTATTATAAATACCAAAACAAGCAAACTTTACTTAAACAAAGGTTTATATTAATTTTAACTTTGAATAGAACTGCATCAATACAATTTATAGTCACTTTTCTAAACCGGTCATCGAATCGATCCAAACGTAAACCTCATAATACGTAAGCAAATTCGAATTCGATCTACGACTGCTTTACTCATAATATAATTTGAAGTGTCAATTTACCGCGTCCTCGGCGGTGACGGAAAACATCGCGAGGAATCTTGCATATCAGCGAAGTTGAAAAAAAAAAACGGAATTTATGTTTATATTGTAGTCGGTCAATCCGCGTTGGTGTCGGCACAGTGAACTCTTTTTTGTCCAAAACCCGACGCGGCATGTGCCCAGTAGTGGAATGTATGTGGGCTGGCACTTTTTTACTTTTAATGGGGCTATTATTCAGTTTTTATTTCATTCATGTTTTCTGTGATGTTTCATTTTTGTTTTCATTCTGCCGTTAATATTAGGGGTAGGGAAGATGAGTAGAACCACCATCAAAATTCCACTGCTTCCCCTATACTATTGTCATATAGGTTGGGGATTTGCCGTAGTGTCCACGCTTAGCAGACTTGGCAACTGCCACTTCATTTTTTGAGTTGTTATCAGGAAGATGCTGCTGCCCATCTACGATTTGAGGTAGTGGATGTTCTTTCGCTACCATATAAGCGAATATATTACTAGCATCGTTTATGAATGCAGTTGTTCTCACGTTAACCATTAATAGAACTACATTTATGAATATTTTTTTAAAATGTTACACGGAACAACTATTTGTAGGCCATACAAATACTTGTTCCGTGCGGGATTTGAACCCGCGACCCCCAGCGCAGCCACTCATTGCTACGCCACTGCGCCACGGAGTCGTCAATTTTTTTTTCAATTTGAAAGTCTTTCGAACGTTAGTAAATCTATCGTCTTAAGTTCTTTCTGCCTCCTTCAAGTAAGCTTCTACTCATCCAATCTCTAATTCTTCCATTATTTGACTATGCCGATGTTTGTCTTTCTAATATCTCTCAGGAGCTGTTAAGCAGGTTGGACAGGTTACTTAACAACTGCATACGATTCATCTTTGGTCTGCGCAAATACGATCACGTATCAGAATTTCGCTCCCAATTAAAGTGGTTGACTATACGCCAGCGCAGAGATTTTCGAATGCTGTCCTCTCTGTTTTCAGTTCTTAATGATTCTTCCTCACCCCTTTACCTAAAAGAAAGATTCCAATTCCGTAGTGACACTCATTCTCTCAATCTCCGGTCTTCACACAATTTATTACTGTCTACTCCTCTCCACCATTCTGGGTTTATGTCAAATTCTTTCACGTTAACTTCCATCTCCCTCTGGAACAAATTGCCTGTTGACCTGCGCATAATACCTGCTAAAAACGTGTTTAAAAGAAAACTATACGAATATATCCATAACCAACAAATTCGAGTCCACTTACTTTATATGTTTATAGTTATTTGTATATAAATTTATGGAGATATATATTTATATATGTATATGTGTATGTATATATGTATATATATATGTATATACATATGTATGTGTGTGTAAGTGTATATAATATATATGTGTATATATATATTATATGTATGTGTAGCATGTACATTTTGAATTGAATGAGATGATGACATCTTTACTGCCCATAACTCACTCTCTGTTCTACCCAAGGTTAGCTGGTAGAGAATGCCATATAGCATTAAGCTCGCCTTTTGTACAAAATCTTTGGTGCAATAAAGAATAAAATAAATAAATAAATAAATAAATCACAATCAATTTTATGGTGCTAATCAATATTCAATGTTGCCAATGATATATATATATATATATATATATATATATATATATATATATATATATATATATATATATATATTAATGGTATAACACAAATTTAAGATTACTTTGACAAAACTATAATTATGAATAAATGTAAGTATTATTATTTTTTAAATGTTATTTAAAATGACAACCTGGCTGTTTTTTATTTTAAATTTTTAAAATATATTTTAGAATATAATGATTCTCACTTCTTTAACGGGTACTAATCTAGAAAAACAAGTCCCACGAAATAGTATTGTGTTAAAACTGCCTTTATTCTGGTTAAGAAGTTGGGTAAATTTAAAAATATGCATTAATCAATATGTTTCTAATGAAATAATTTAACTGTCTGATTAAAATATATTGCAGAAGGGGTGAAATTTATGATAAGTATATATATTAGTAATTTTACACCATGATTTCGAGCAAAATAATCGCCAAATAACGAGCGGTAAATTTAATTCTTGCTCTAAAAAAAATGTATAAGGATCTTTGTGAGACAGTAACAAAACGAAAAATTTGAATAAGTTATTTACAATAACTTTCAATAACGACAAGAAATTTCCAATACTTTGTCTAAGCTTATAATTTTCCAATTAAATTTTGGCTGAAAATAATATTCACAAGCCTTTCATAGCAATTATAGTTTTACGCTATATTATCCGCAGCTTCGCTTGTATTGGCTTCAACTTAGGAATATTGTTAAATATACTCTTTGCCAAAATTAGCAAACAGTTCACTTGAAGAGTCACCTTAGTGTCTGTGTCTCCGTGTCTGTTTGTCACGGGATTTATAGTTAATTCTCAAAGAATATTGAACGTAGGTGATTAAGATTTAGCACAGAGAATTAATAAGCTACAGGAACACAAATTTTGTGATCTTTTATAATTGCATATCATACATCTAGCAAAACCTACCACTTTTTATATAAGGCAGGTTTTCCAATATATCCATAGCAAGGGTAAATTGTCTTGTAATCAGAAATACGTTATTTAAATTTTACTACTTATACTAAAGATATTAATAGTTACTTTGCAACTCAATTAAATTATTTATTTATTTATTTTATTTTATTCTTTATTGCACCAAAGATTTTGTACAAAAGGCGAGCTTAATGCTATATGGCATTCTCTACCAGCTAACCTTGGGTAGAACAGAGAGTGAGTTATGGGCAGTAAAGATGTCATGATCTCATTCAATTCAAAATGTACATGCTACACATACATATAATATATATATACACATATATATTTTATACACTTACACACACATACATATGTATATACATATATATATATACATATATACATACACATATACATATATAAATATATATCTCCATAAATTTATATACAAATAACTATAAACATATAAAGTAAGTGGACTCAAATTTGTTGGTAATTAATATATTCGTATAGTTTTCTTTTAAACACGTTTTTAGCAGGTATTATGCGCAGGTCAACAGGCAACTTGTTCCAGAGGGAAATGGAAGTTACTGTGAAAGAATTTGACATAAACCCAGAATGGTGGAGAGGAGTAGACAGTAATAAATTGTGTGAAGATCGGAGATTGAGAGAATGAGTGTCACTACGGAATTGGAATCTTTCTTTTAGGTAAAGGGGTGAGGAAGAATCATTAAGAACTGAAAACAGAGAGGACAGCATTCGAAAATCTCTGCGCTGGCGTATAGTCAACCACTTTAATTGGGAACGAAATTCTGATACGTGATCGTATTTGCGCAGACCAAAGATGAATCGTATGCAGTTGTTAAGTAACCTGTCCAACCTGCTTAGCAGCTCCTGAGAGATATTAGAAAGACAAACATCGGCATAGTCAAATAATGGAAGAATTAGAGATTGGATGAGTAGAAGCTTAGTTGAAGGAGGCAGAAAGAACTTAAGACGATAGATGGAACGAAGTATGCCTGTGACTTTACGACAAATCTCGGACACCTGTAACCTCCAACTAATGGTCGGGTCAATAATTAAACCCAGATCCTTGACACTAATGCGGAAAGGAATTACACAGTTTTCATAGCAAATGGATGGTAGATCAGGTATGTTAAGTTGTGACACCAATCGACGACTACCAATGATAGTAGCCTGGCATTTACTGGGATTTACCGTTATACCAAATCGCTGTGACCAGTCTGAAATGCGTTGTAAGTCCTGATTAATAGCTGCAATAGCGGTAGCAATTTCAACCGAGGACGCTTGTGAGTATAACTGAAGATCGTCAGCGTATAGGTGGTAAGAACATTGAAGGTGGGTAGTTAGAAGATTGATAAACAACGAAAACAAGAGAGGAGAGAGAATGCCGCCTTGCGGTACACCTAGATATAGATCGCACCAGTCGGAAAAATCCTGACCAGCCCGAACAGCCTGCTGGCGACCGCGAAGATAAGAGGAAAACCAGTTCAGTACTGACGGGGAGAAGTTTAGGCGTGAGAGTAATCCAAGGAGTAAGTCGTGTTCGACACAATTAAATGCGTTTGAAAAGTCAATAAGGACCAGAACAGTCAAACATGACCTCTCCATGCCCTCTCTAAAATCTTCTGTAACTTGAAGTAAAGCTGTGGTGGTACTATGTCCCGGGCGGAAGCCAGATTGATATGTACTAAGGTAGTTGCATTTCGAAATGAAAGAGGTGACTTGTTTGTGTACCAATGATTCAAGGGCTTTGGAAAGAAACGGCAGTATAGAAATAGGTCTAAAATGGGAGGGTAGGGATGGATTGGGTACCTTCGCAAGAGGCAAGATAAAAGCTTTTAGCCATAACTTAGGGAAAATACCAGTAGAGAGGGAGAAATTGACGATGTGAGTGAGAACTGGAGTAACAATATCGAGTATGAGAAGTATCATAGGTCTACTCACCTTATCATATCCGGTTGCGGAAGATTTTATTGAAAGTATGGCTTTTCTAGTATCATCGTCAGTCACTGAACTGAAGTCGAAAGAATTACATGATAACAAAGGCATGGAATTAAGTTCCTGGAGAGTCGTAGCTTTGGTGGTCAAATGCAGACGTGATGCAGAAGAGAAGTGTATATTCAAGTCATTGAGTGAAATATTTGGGATTAGTGAATTGGAATCTGATTTTCCAAATCCCAGGGATTTAAGGAACTTCCATATATCTGCAGAAGAGGAGTTTGAAATACTATTGTGGAAGTAGCGGTGTTTGGCTGTTCTTACCACCTGATTACAGCGGTTTCGTGCTCGCTTATATTGTTGAAAGGTGGTACTATTCCGATTCTTTTTAAAAATGTGAAAAGCTCGATCTCTTCTTCTCATTGCTCTACGCACTTCGTCAGTTATCCACGGTGCAGGAGGTCGACGTAACCTGACTGCTCGAACTGGTGCGTGCCTATCGAACAGGTTGAGAATTTGGGTGTTCAAATGAGCAATTTTGTCTTCCATATTATTTGCATCCAGCAATGGGCCCCATTCTATATTCTTAGCATCGCGGTGTAGTCGAATGGTGTCAATTTTATTGAAATTGCGTAAATACACAATCACTGGCTTTGGCTTGGGAGGCTTTAATTTATACGATATGACCAAAAGATCGTGTCGAGAAAACGCGGGAACAGCCAGTTGATCATGATATAAAACATGATCCGCTGAACTAGTGCAAATGATGTCTAACCATGAATCTTCGGTGTCCACGTTGTGGTGAGTTGGACTAGATGGTAGAATATAGAGATCTGCCGAGTCCATGATGGCTTTAAGTTTGCGACTCTGAGGAGAATCCTTTAGCAAGTTGGTATTGAAATTACCCATTATTATAATATGTTTGTTATCAGTGCTGATGGAGTCGATTACCGATTCAATATGGGAAAAATAATCAGTTGAAGGAGGGCAGTAAAAAACTCCGAGCACGACCCTCAAACCCTTAATTTTTACTTCTAGAAATAGGTACTCAGCAGATCCTCTATATTCTGATGGTGATATTGCAATGATATAATATGCATATTCCGATCGCAAGTAAATGGCTACGCCACCTCCACCTTTGCCAGTGCGATCAGAACGTATAAGTACAAATCCAGGAAGACTGTACAACGTAGAGGATAGGGAGGGTTTTAGCCAGGACTCTGAGATAAGTAGAGCATGGATGTATGGTGAGGAAAATATGTCAAGTAGATCTGAGTAATGGGCAGGGATGCTTTGCGCATTTATATGGCATACATTTAAACAACTTGTAGAGGCAAATTTCGTGTGCAAATAATTACCCACGTTATCGATAAAAGAATCGTCTGCGGGTGAGGTAACGTTAAAAGATGAACATGCAGAATAAAATGAGTCTTCATCCGATGACATTTAATCTATTATTATTAATAATAGCAAAAAAATAAATATATAGGGTATATGTAATAATAAATAATGTTGTATAATATATATGTATACCTATATTTATAATAAATTTATATATATACTAAATACTATATTTATGAATATAAATATTAAAATAATGAAACTATTATGAAATATAAAAAGTTAATTAATCACTATTTGTTTTACCTGCCGGTCTGCCTTAAAAATTATTAATCAAGTTTACATATAAAAAGAAGATTAGCACAAATGTTTTAAACAGTCCAATGAAATAGCAATGATGTCTTACTCATATTTCACTTGGTCAAATTAAAAGATAATTATTGTTTTGCTCATCTTCTATACAACAAAGGACAATAGAAAGATATATATTATAATGCTTATGACTAACTTAAGTGAGCGATAAACAACAATTATAAGTAAGGCCGTGATCGTTTACTATTTTACATTTATACAAGACACAAGAGTATATTGTACATTTAATTTAAAATATATTAATAATTATGAAAAGACTAAACTGAGAATAAAACGCTACAATTGAATACAATCTAATGGTTAAGATACGAAAATTATATACAAATGAAATGAAGACATTGCTTAAAAACCAAGAATCCAGGCCAATGTCTTAATAAAAATAATTGTATGATATTGACGTTTGACTATAACATAGATAGTATCCTCTTAGTAGTCTGTGAACATAAATTGCTATGATAAATTGCTTACCTACCTAGTTTATTTCGTACCAAATATGTACTGCAATAATATTTCATACGGTGAACGTAAAATTAGAGCTTACTGTCAGCACCAAAATCATAAAATGAAATCGAAAAAGTTATAAATACAGCAAGAATGATGCTGATCGTAAAGTGCAATGCCATTATGTACAGACTAGGAAACAATTACGATAAATCACAACTTTTTACTGATTGCACGCTTCGAAGTAGTTGTTGACCTGGATTTAGATCCTTCTTTTTTGGGAATGACATCTGAGGCTGGAAGCGAGGTAGCCCGTTCTACGTCAGCTTTGTGTTTGGTTGTCAGCTTCTCTAGATCATTTGTTGTAAACACTTTGTACGGGATCCAGTAGGAAGCTTGACATTGATCACCCCGTCCAAGGTCCACACATTCCTAATGCCGAAGTGCCTGCGGGCCTCTAAGAATAAAGACTGCCTCATTCGTGTTAGATATTCTGACAACACATATGGGCTACCCTTGAGCAAAGCCTTCTTGACCCATACCTCCCGACGTAATGGAGCATCTTCAAATTTTATGAGAATCGGACGAGGGCGGCCATTAGATATTGTGCCAAGACGATGACATACCTGCAGCGACTGACTAGAACAATTTTTGATACCAAGATTCTTCGTGATGACTGAAGCTAACAATTCGCGGACATTCTCATTGGTATTCTCGACCACTCCTCCCAGCAGCAGAAACTTCTTTCTGTGTCTACTTTCAATGGCATCCACATTAACAATTAGAAGGTTAATTTGCTGCCGCAGTAATGTTAATGTTGAATAGACAAAATTCTTGAAGTTGATGTAGTCAGAACTTAGGTCCTTCAGGCTTAAGTCCTTTGATGACCCCTCTAGTCTCGCTTCAAACTCATCCAACCTCTGATTAAGTGTCTTCTCCAGTGATACTTGTGTTTTAAGAACTTCAAATATGTTTTCCATACTGAGATGTTCTTTAAGTATTGTACTCAACTTGAAGTTTGTAAGAAAAGTGGTAGCAGCCTATGGCAGTTATTTAACTTATTGCATATATGATATTTTAGTTGATACTTAACAAATATTAAATACTGTACACATTGAATAACTAAAATATATAAATAAAATTACAGAGATGCACAAAATTTAGTTGTTACTTTTTCACACCTACCCGAAAAAAATTAAATGATGTGTCTTACCTAGTTTGAAGAGAACGTCCCGACCTCCCTCAATTGCGTGCACTATACATAATCCCGTCACCACTAATCCCAGTACCACTTTTCCCAACACCACTACTCCCAACACCACTACTCCTAACACCACTACTCTAGGAAAGACACACCATCGACGATAATCCGACACGTGTTTCGCATACACGAGGTATCTTCAGGTAATGTAGACTCTATGGTGGCTGACCGCTAACATGACTTAGCTCATTACACACTTTTATTAATATGTTCAGTATAATGGATGTCCGAAAAGTAACGCCTGATTCTATTAATTATTTTACTACTTACATTTATTCATAATTATAGTTTTGTCAAAGTAATCTTAAATTTGTGATATTCCATTAATATATACAATATGTAACAAAAACCCTGTGATTCCCGTTAAGTGTGTTATCAGAATCAGTAGCCAAGCGTATAGAAACATTTTTTTTTTCAATTATTTTTATTTTATTTAAAAAAATTATTTAGCAAATTGTATATGGTTTTATTTCCTCTAACTCACATGAGTATCGGTAATACAGGGTTTTTGACAATCCTCTTACTCCTCGGCCAATGCAAAGATAATAAAATCACATAAAATTTGCAAATTAAATTTTTTTTCATTAAAATTATTTTTTTTAAATACGTTTTTTTGAAAAAAAAATTACTTCCATATGCTTGGATACCGATTCTGATAACGCAGTTAAGGGGGACCACAGGGTTTTTGTTACATGTTGTATATATATATATATATATATATATATATATATATATATATATATATATATATATATATATATATATAAGCTTAGACAAAGTATTGGAAATTTCTTATCTGTCACACAAAGATCCTTATACATTTTTTTTAAAACAAGAATTAAATTTACCGCTCGTTATTTGGCGATTATTTTGCTTAAAATCATGGTGCAAAATTACTAATATATATACTTATCATAAATTTCACCCCTACTGCAATTTATTTTAATCAGACAGTTAAATTATTTCATTAGAAACATATTGATTAATGTATATTTTTAAATTTACCCAACTTCACCAGAATAAAGGCAGTTTTAGCACAATACTATTTCGTGGGACTTGTTTTTCTAGATTAGTACCCGTTAAAGAAGTGAGAATCATTATATTCTAAAATATATTTTAAACATTAAAATAAAAAACAGCCAGGTTGGCATTTTAAATAACAATTAAAAAATAATAAGTAATAGAAATTTTAGAATAAATTCTAGCACATGTGATTGTTATTACCAAGAAATAGCATAACAATTAAAGCGGTTTCGTTTGAAAAGTCGCACCGAACGGAATATTCTAAACTAAATTTTAAAAGTGAAAATTTGTGATTCTTATTGCTCAATCAAATATGGATGTTACAGCGGATTTAAATTAAATTTTGAATACGGATCGTCTCTGTTTCGACATACCCCGCAGATTACTTTTAATTCCGGTTCATCAGGTGAACCAAAACACACAAAGCAAATTACTTTAAACGATTTTCGTGTTTAATGGAGCCCTTACGTATTTAACCCTGTATTTACGCTAAGGGTAACATTGCAATAATAATACTTTTACGTAAAACAATTATATTTTAACTACCTTTTTTATTACAATGGCTCTAGATGAAGCACAGACGTTATTTATATTATGTTCCATTGTTTTCTTTGATTATGTGCTTCGAGTATTGCTTGGTATTTAAAAGAATTAATATACTAATGGTCACCACCATTCGTTGTAATGCATGACGGAGTTGGTCAGAGAACTTTACTGCTAGGCCGCGTGATTTCAAATTATAATGGTAATTGGATGCTACGGTCTATAGACAGAAACATACATAAATTTCTGATTAAGACACAGACAAGACCAGAAATCAAAAAATCTCCGATTTTCATCACTAATCGTACAAAACACCACATCATGCTTCTACGACTATTACACACTACTGTTCTGGGTGAGTGTGGTCAAGTCGACGCATTCGTACTATTATTCCAGCATGATTCAAATACGTATTAAACGTTACGGGCTTAAACCATAAGCGGAGCCAGTATTAGTAAAAAAAAAAACAAATTTATTCTAAAAACATGCTGAAAACCCCTAGCTCCGATCTTATAACACATTTTTAATCGACTTCAAAAAAATAAGGTTCTCAATTCGACTGTACGTTTTTATTGCGTTACGTCAGAACTTTTTCTAGGTGAATCGATTTTGAAGATTCTTCTTTTATTTGAAAGCTGATGCTTCTGATATAGTTCAATATAAATTTGATCAAGATCTGATCAGAACCTAGTTTTTGAGTTATCTTTAATGATGCGTATTTAATTGACTTTGACTACATTGACGATGTTTTCATTTTATTTATATTGAAGTCAGTTATACAAAATTTTTAATTTTACTACCTGTTACAATAGTGAGTGGCTGTGTTAGCGTATTAACTTATGTCACTTATATTAAAACATTTAAAAAATAACTTAAAACATTTAAAATTTGAGTAATATCTGAACGTAGGCTACGTTTCCTCAATGTATGGCTGCACTTAGCCTTTGAGCGAAAAAAGAACCAACCCTTTCGTCACAAGCGGTGACAACAAGTTACACTTACAGTATCCATCTCTCAGAGACTCATTTAAAACATTTAGCTATCTTCATTCGAAACACAATTATAATATAATCAAAATTAAAAAAATGTGGAGAAACGCATAGTCAACAATTTGAAAGGAATGATAAAATTAATTAAAACAATACCGGTTATTAAATACGTACAGTGACAAACACCAACAACTACAAACACTTTAATATCACAAATAAAGGCATGGGCTAGAACAAGTGTCCAAACACGTTGGAAGCTGCAGCGTTATACATGGTAATGTCGAGGGTAGAACCACTCATGATCGGCATACTAATGAGTGCTGCGAAACTATTTTAGAAAAATTTCATTAAAAAACAGGTCACATAATAAATGCAATGGTTCGGATCCGAGTATCGTTACAACTTGTACTTTGTTGGAATTAAAAGTGCGCAATTCACGATCGAAACATAAATATGAAAATCCAAATGCGTGAAAGAGAAGTGAGACTGTTAAGGCAGGTGTCACGATACATCTGCGCGCGTTGAGGTCGGCACGTGCGGCTTTACCAAAGTCTTCAGTCGAAAGCCGATTTTACCGGGTGTTAGATTTCTAATGTCTCGTGAAATAAAGTACAGTAGCTTGATCTTGTCAATTCAAACTCAAGACTTATTGCTAATTAAATTATAAATAGTTTCAGTATTAGAGGATTTTCCAAAGTTTGTAATAAAATGGTTTCAATTTGTTTCGGTCAAACATAAAAAATTGTAAAGTAAAATTGTAATTGAAATTACTTATCTTTTTCAGCATGCAACCTTGTTGAGAAAACCTTCTTCAATATTTTTAGGCATCGTGCATCCCAAAATCCAAAATGTGTGATAGCTAAAGGTATGAGGCATATTTTAAAAATAATTTCCGATACTACTACGATGTCTTCTATTGCTATATGATCATAAGTATAAATAAACGAAAAAAAAATAAGAAAACTTACCACAATTTGTAAAGGCAATCGTAATAACAATTAATAAAAAAGTTTGGAAATTACAAAATTCAAATACGAAAATAATAAAATGAGATATGTAGTTTCATTTAGTAGCTTTCCATTTAAAGGCAATATTAAAGTTATAAACTTTTAAGGTAATACTTTAATTTTCATACGTATTTTTTGTTTAACGACATTGAACGTTTAATAAAAGAGAATTGTTACTGAGCCGTTCGCGAAGATTAAGTGCCTATCCAAGAAACTTGGATTATAATTGAAAAGTAAATTCATGTCCACTTTTTTCGGTATCATTAACATGGCGCGGGCACGAGCGCTCGCCAATTTTATAACCAATTTTAAGATCAGGAAGCTGTTCGTGTGCGACAGGCTGTTTTTAATAATAAATCGATACCACGCGCAATCCACTGACGGCGTTCGTAATCAGCCCTAGTCTGAAATTATCGACATTCGCACAAAATGATTTAGGGCGGAGGCTAACGGTATTTTGATGACCAACGAATTTTTATAGAGATTGCGCGAATCGACAATTAGGGTGTTATTATACTTTCGCACTTCGGATATTCTTTCATTATAGCTTATTATACCTTGTCAAGAGTAAGCGGCTTACGCCAAATTTCCAAGCTTTACGACCCGCCATTATTGAATCTATTAAAGATTCGTCGCCACAACCTCAAAACACCTCCATGCTCAAGAAAATAATGAAATGATTACAAGTTTTTACTGAGTAATAATGTCTCTATTATAATAACCAAAATTGTGTAATTGATGAGGTTGTACGAAGGGAAATTAATATAATCACTTCACTGAAATAGCGAGATCTTTATCTTGAAGCTGTCTCTTTAGTTTAAGCATAAGCGTCTATCATCATGTCATTATCAGTAAAGTTTGAAATAATTGTATTACAATGTTCCTAGAAACAGGAATTTCAATGTTTAAGTGTTGCGGTCATAATACGAATAAAAGGATCGGCGCCGCGAGCTTGTTATAAGTCTATTAATATTTTTTCGACATATTTCAATAAACGTTTTAACACCTTTTCCCTAAAGGTATCATTAGGCTCATTATTGCATCCCCCTGCGCATCGAAACATTCGATTCGTTTCCATTGACCCCTGAACCGGTTCCGTTGTAAGTTTTTATAAGAGAAGACATTATAATTATCGTTATTTTGTTCATCGCCATGTA